AGGAAGGAAGGAAGGAAGGAAGGAAGGAAGGAAGGAAGGAAGGAAGGAAGGAAGATAGGTTTTCTGTAATTGTGAGGAGAAAACATAGTGATATTCCAGATTCTTAATTACATATTCTGCTTTTCCCCAGCGATCTGGACAAGTTAATTACATATTGTACATATTTGACAGGCCACCCAAAACTACAATATGGATTCTCTCAAAAGCATAGCAACTTCTAAGGGGAAAAAAACCAGCTGTGGAAATATATCCTTGTCTTTCACATTGTAGATATGAATGAGTTACAAATAGGTAAAATAATCAACCAACTTCATCAACCAAACAAAACCATTATAAAGCAGTTACCTGATCACCTGGCTTTCCCCCTTCCCCTGGAGGGCCTGGAGGACCAGGTAAACCCTACAAGGAAATAAATAAAGCGAAAACAAAGCACATGGTCAGCATATCTATTGGACTATACAAGGTATTGAAATTACTGCTTCAGTGGTATTTTAAATTGAGTATAAAAAGTAATTCACAGGTAACCCAAATACAGATAGAATATTTTCTTGCAAGGAGGAAATCAGTGTCATTATATATTAGACTGAAGAACTTACTGGGTTGCTCTATTTTTGGCCAAGTAGCTCTTCCAGATAAAAAAATGAACATTGAAATGTTTGTTACAGGACAGCAACCTAACCCATTCAGTTCTAATTTTGATCAGTGAGGTTAATTTTTATAGGTGTTGTTTATTGAGAATATTTTGGCTTTGGTATGTCACTATGAGAAGGAGAGAAAGGGAGAAAATGTCTTTTGCTATACAGAATGTTGCGGCTTGCAGGTTGTCACACTAACGATCAGGTGGAATCAGTCAAAACTCCTTCTATGGCCACAGTCCCCAATCTTGTTCCAGTGGAAATCAAATATTGTTTCTTTAACATGGCTGATTATAGAAATAAGCAGCAAAGCAAAGCACCACATCCAGCATCATGTTTGTTTCTGCATGAAACCTACATATATTTTTAGAAAATAAAACTCATAGCTCAGTCCTTTGTCTGCAAGTGGGCCCATCTGCTCAAAAACAAAAACAAAAAAAAAGAGAGAGACTGGTGGTGTTGGGGGTGTTCCAGTTCCAGAGGATGTGGTGAGGAACAATCATGTAAATTTAGCCAGGTACATGTGTAAATTTATGACGGATCAGATCCACTAGGCCCGTCATTTTATGAGAGTGCTCACAATAGACTCCCTAATTTCCAAATTTGCCTGCTGCCCCAGAAAATGAATGCATCTGTACACTAAATACAAATGGGGAAGCCCATTAAGAGGCCAGTTTAATGGCTATTTTTCTGCTTATGAATATTGCTCTTTTTTAAGATCTCCAATGTTTTCTAAAAGGAACATAATGTTTTTGTACTGAACTTGTTATGAAGAAATTTAAGCAAGAATATGGTGGTCATTATTTTGGCAGATGTTTTATTATATTTGCTTTACTCAAAGGAATATCAACCCAAAAGGATGGGGGGGGGTTATCATGAAAATTGCTTTCAAAAAGACTCACCTGAAAGCCTGTAGGACCTGGAGGACCTAGTTCTCCTCTTTCTCCTGCTGGTCCCTGTACAAAACAAAACCCAACAAAAGTTTTTGAAATTATTTCTTATAGTATCATGACAGCTTAAATCTTCATGTTTCAATATCCTGGATGCAATAATAGGAAGATACTGTTAGTTGTTAATTGCTCCCCATAGCTTATTTCACTGCAATCTGATTGATAATACCAACTGTTAACATTTACATACAGTAAAAAGTTAATTTGACCTATAGCTGTATTCATTTAGACAGTCTTCCCTTTGAATCTGTATGATTTTAGATATTCATTTTATTCTGAAGTTATGACAAATGGTTAGGAATTGTTGTCCTTTTCTCTAAATCTACTTTTTACATGTCAGGAATCAATAGAACAGATAAAATAAGTCATCTGGATTGTCAGCATCAATATCCTAGTTTTTTTGTTCAGAACAGAAAAATGAATGTATCTTCTTCAACATTTCAGAGGATGGGGAAAATGTTCCTTTTTAACATTTTTAAGATCTGTATGCTACAACAGCATGTAGCATCAATTCTATGAATGAATTAAAGATTCCTCTGACAAAAGAACTGAATAGCAAATTTTCTGCCTTTGTATTTCAGCAAGGTTGTGTTATCCTCCAATAATTCTCTACCCCATCATTAAGTATATCTCATCCGTCCATCTTCCCACTACCGCTCCTTTAAAAAAAATGAATTTAGCAAGGAAATGATCATGCATTCATAAGTATGTATACACAACACTCTCATTCTGCAGGGATTGAACCCATTATTTCAATGGCATTCAGACAAAAGCATTTATCTTGAACAGTATCCTTGCACACCAGAAGAGTTTAGATAGAACTTACATGGGGACCAACAGAACCAGCAGGGCCAACTTCACCATCTTTACCAGGTGCCCCCTAAAGTAATATAATAAATAAAGTTGATTGAGATGGTATATACATGTATATACACATGCACCATAAATGCTGTGGTTTAGATCTTTTTTTTAAAAAAAAATACTTACTCTCTGCCCTGGGACACCAGCATTTCCCGCTTCTCCAGGTTTTCCAGGATCCCCCTATTTAAATATATTATTATTATCATTATTATTAATATTAATATTATTATGCAACTTGGTAAATATGGGCAAACTATGAAGCCCAATACTTACACTACTGCCTTTTGGCCCAGGGAGACCCATGCTACCTGGCTGGCCTCTAATTCCAATTGAACCTGCTGGGCCTGGCCGACCATCTTCTCCTGGAGCACCCTAAGATAACATCAAGCATTTAATCCTGAACATGGATAACATTAAATCCAGTTTGCTTACAGACTTTTTTTTTTTTTTTTTTGCAAATTTCAGTTGCAGAACCATTCTCACACACCAATATAGGATCTTTCAGGAAATGGAATTGGAAAGCTGGAAATCCATGTCCTGTTGACTCCATGTTCTGTTATTTCCTCAATATAGGTCATATGTATCACAAAATGGCTAGTTCGCTTATTTAGCACTTCTAACGTTTGTTAGTCCATAGCTGTAAAATGTACTGGGATAATAATCCCTAATACAGTTATTTCCATTAGAGGCAATGTGAGTACTAGCTACTCAGCTCCACTCCCTCCATTCTAGGAAAAACAAGGATGAGGCTAGGAAGTGTCCTTTGAATTATCCCAGCTCCATATACCATGTCATTTATGTACCTCACCTGTGTGTGTTTTTATTCTAAGAATACTCTGTATTCTAAGATCTTCTCAGAACTATAAAAAGGGTTAAAAGTATTCTCAGTAAATGAGTGTTCCTATCTCTATATCAATATCATCGTTCTAATACTGAATTAATCACCTCTAGTATTTTTGGACTGTAATCAACCCACACTTGACCTATGCATTTTCTAATTTACAACTAGAATTTAAAGTTTCAGTTACACAGATGTCATCAACATTAGGGTGGAGTAAAGCAGTCAGGCTATTGGCATCTGGAAATATGCTGAATCACACCATTGCAGTAACAGATCCAGAAATCCCTTTCAAGTGGGGCGTGCCTGCATCTGAGACAAGGGAAAGGGGACCGAAGGAAATAACTTCTGGAAATCTGATGTTGAAGGCCCCATAGTATTGGTTTTCCCTTGTTATTTGTCTGAATGTGTGTATAAAAGCAATAAAAGTGAAAAGATAAAAGGGATTGGGGAGTTCAAATTCAGAGCTGCTCACCCATTGCCATCCTGACTCTGCTCTCATTATTTGACTCTGACATTCAAAGATACACAATCTCTGAATTTGAGTCTCTTTAGGTTTTGTTTAGCTCCCATGGTTAGCAGATAATGATATCACAGTTCAGTCTTGGGCATGGCTACCAGCTACAGTTAAATGTTTACAGTTAACCTGTTTAGCACTATCTAAATTTGTATGTGTGTGTGTGTGTATCTGAAGTAATTATTAAATAAGATTTAACTTTAGAAAAGATTGCATCTAAACAGTTGTTCAGCTGAAGGTTGGGGGTGTTGCTTATTTTCTTTTTGCCTTCAAGTCAGTCTTGAATCCCGGTGATTGCCTGGCCAAATCCCTGCAGTTTTCTTGGTGATATTTTTTGGAAGTGGTTTGTCCTTGCCAAAGTCATCCAGTTGCCTCCCGGGCCCAAGGCAGGACTAGAATTCATGGGCTCCTGATTTTTAGCTTGGGACCTTTAAAAGGCCAGTCCCATATCCTATCCTCACCGAGTTGGGTTTTCACATAACAGACCCCTTTCATTCCTACCCCAGTGAGAATTGCTCTCTAAAATGAACTTGAGAGGGATACAGAAGGACAGCAAGAGTAAGGGTATCAAGAGTAACATCCCACTCAATTAATCTGACTTATAGTCAAATAAGTCTAGACACAAGTCAGCTAAATTCTCCCACAAATATCTCAATTTACTTACCAAAGGACCAGGTTTCCCTTCTGGACCTGAGACCCCTGGATTTCCTGTCAGACCCTGTAAAAATAAAGTATTACAAAACAATACTAATTCTGGTGCTTGATTACCCTCTGCATCCAAAAATTACACATATTCATAAGAACAATTTATCCATGTACATATATACTATTTCTATACTGTTTGACATTTACAGTCCTCTTGTTCCTTTTGACCTAAATGGTATTAAGTCAAAAGTCAAGACTTTTGACTTCCCGATGTGAGCAGTCCTCTCCATCTCTTAGGCACGTTAAATCTGGATGTATAAAGTAGGATTATTATTCTTTCTTTACCCTGGCACCTGGGAGACCAGGTTCACCCGTGCGACCAGGATCCCCTTGGCTTCCTTTAGGGCCTGGAGCCCCTGCAGGACCACGTTCTCCTTGAGCTCCCTGAAAAGGAAAGCAAAAGAAACATTACTCAATGGCATTTCAGGCGTAATTAATTAGTAATTAATTAATTACTAGGTAGGTGATTTCAAGGGTATGTGCCTCGATTTTATTTCCAAATAATTTGAGTTACCCAATAACTGCTCTAGCAGAACAATTTGTTTCAGATGGATTAATTTCCCTTAGAAAGATACATCAAGAAAGCAAGATAAATCAAAGGCAACATAAATAGATAGGTTTTTCTTGGCTAATCTCTAAATTTAAAATTGCCTCTCCTAAATCTCCAATGGCAGTATCCTTCTACCAGCCGAGGTGCACCCAGTTCTTTTTTTTTTTTAAAGTGGAGACTTGCTGAGAAAAGAAAATAAGGGATGACATTATGTTCCTTATCTTATGCACTATTTTGACTAGCCTTGCTTTTGACTCCATTTCCCATATCTATCTATATATATAGTACGATTATAAATGATCTTAATAATCCTTATAGCCTTATTAACTCACCTTCGGCCCTGGCAAACCATCAGATCCTGGAAAGCCACGGTTGCCAGGAGGACCCTATGGAAACAAAGGCATGCCTTTTTTATGGAGTGACATATATGATCCATGCTTGTGACATTTATACTTTCTTTTAAACTTAAAATTTGATTTTAAATATATCCCAGCTGGAGAAAAAAACATTCAGACAGTAGAAATGCCGAAGGATTACCAATATACAATAGACACCCTGATCTGGGCGTTGCTGATGAGGACATTTCCTAGTGAAATCTAAGTTTATCCAGCATCATTATCTATGACGGGCTATAATAATATATAGTCAACTATATATTTAATACTTAGCATAAGGGATACAGAAATCTGATAATGATACAATAATAATAATGACCATATGATACAATTTTCACAACAGTATTATTTATCCTAGTCAATAACACACCTATACAAAAAATAAACCAACCAACCAACCAACCCTTAAACCCATTAGTTAAGTGAATGCTTGCCATGGAGATATTTAGAAACCAACTACATCACTTAGCACATTTATTGAAATGCTAGAAAGCAAGCACATTAAAAACAAAGAAGGAACAGGACAAAACCTCTTTGCTCATTTCTGTGGAATACAACTAAAATAAAATGACATTATTTTGTCAGGTGATATTTACCAATATGGGTAAATTTAAGAAAACTTTTTTTTTTACAATAATTATATGACAACACCCTATCACATTTAGTCCCATATGTCCGTTTTTTAAAATTGCTTCGCTGTTCTGAACTTTATAGAAAATGTTTTTCATTGTACAAACTCAGTTGTTCGCTCTAGGAAGTTCAGATCCTATCTCACTATTAACAAGCACAAAGTGATTCTTCTAAAGCAACAGATTTTGGAGTTTCATTGGAGAAAGTTGTTAATTAATGAATTGAATCCAAATCTTTGATTTAGAAACTTTTGTGATGGGTTAATAGAGAAAAAAAAATGGAAAGGTAATATCTGCTAATTTTTCCTTACTCTTGAAGCCATACATGCCTTCCAAAAAGTCAGAGAAGATTTTTGGAAGGAGCAAGGAACTGAGTTAGAAAAAAGCTATCTTATACACTTTCCTCTGAAGGGACTGAAAACAAAATCCAGACCATTGTTTTGCCATCGTGGTAGGACACCTTTTGGATTTTCTGCTCTCAAGCACAAAAATAAACAGGGCTTTTCCAAAGCTAGCCCAAATAAAACTACTGAGATTTTGGTTTTTTTAATCATTGTTCTTACCCTCTCTCCAACAGATCCAGGAACACCGACTGATCCTGGGTCACCACGAGGACCTCTTTTCCCTTCTTCACCAACAGGTCCAATTGGTCCTTGGGGGCCGTGGGGACCCTAGTGAAAAACATTTACACTTATAAAGTAAATGTACAAAACCATAATTCAGCCACATTCCCATTGACACAAGCAAATGCTGATGCCCCATTTAAAATCCAGTTATATTTCTTGAAGAAGGATCTTAAAAGATATCATTTCTGCAAACATTTCTTCTTCATGTTTTTTTCCTTGCATATATTCCAAGACTCTAGCAATTCTAGAACACTGGCCAAATTGCATTAGGAAAAATTAACTCTGCAATTATTCTTTGGAATAATGATTGAGTTATTGAATAGTGAATAATTATTTGAAGTAGCTAAGGAAGGGTTTATTAGGTGAATGTAGATTTTCTAGTATTGTAGATATTTATGAAATAGATTTGGGGGCACAGATATAAATAAAGAGATACAGACAACTCTAGGCCACCTCCACAGCAGGCTGCAAATGAGACAGCAGTGACGTGTCATGTGGACATGTCCTTTAAAAATTGGTAACAATGCTTTTTCATGCCACAGTTAAGTGGGAAATTAGGATGGCTCCCTTGTTACATTACCAGCTAGTTTCCCAAGGAAGGGAAAAGTGTCTGCTGTGTGTTTAATAATATTCAAATCACCCCTTCAAGCTAAATAAATCTTTAAAGAGAAAAACAATTTCAGGGCCAAGTTTCATATTTGTTTTCTTAAAATCAAAAATGGTATTCTTTTGCGATATGGAGAGGTCAATGGGACAGCACAATTAGCAATTAAGGTTTACAACTAGGATCAGGGAGATTAAGGTTAAGATCCAACTTCAGCCGCAAAAACTCACTGGAGGATTTTGAACCCTCACTCTCCCTCAGCTCAGACTACCTCACAAGGTATAGAAAAGCTGGAGGATGGAATATAAGTCTAATAAGTATTAATGAGTAATTTACAACGAGAAAAAATAACAACCAAAATGAAAAATAAAGTTTGAAATTAAACCATAAAGATTCTAGCATATTAAGGACAGAACTGAATAACAGAAAAAAATGCATGTTATTTTGTAAAAGGGCATTTTAAATATGGTTTCTAGAGGATACATTTTGAAAACTTACTGGTTCTCCTTTGGGCCCAGCTTCTCCTTTGAACCCTGGAACACCAGGATCTCCCTGAAAGTAAGTATCATCCATTAAAATAATGATCTGAGTTATTCAAGGTGATAGGAAGTACAAGAATTTTTGTCACTCACATGTCTTGTTCATTTATTATAATTTATTATCATAGGTAACATTCATGGTCTCTACAGTGGTACAGATCATGGTATGATCTATATGATCTGTTCAATAGTATTGTAATGATATGGTCTATATTAAGACATATACTTCATGGAGAGCAGTCCTATATGTAAATAAACAAAACATGGACTGTTGTCAGCAATCCCTAAAACATTAAAAATTTAAAATGTTGATTTTCATCTTCAAAACACTGCCTGAGAATTTGCTTATCTCAGTATAAAATTATTCAGGCATTACAACTGGGAGAAGGAGCTCCCTTAAATATGCTTGCAATTTCCAGCCTCAATCTCTTGAGCACCTGGTGGCTTGTAAGTTATAGAAAACATCCTCTTAAAAGTCCTGTGTTGTTCTAACAAAAAGGCCTATTTTTATTCTGTTATTCTTAATGTTAATTCTGTTACTGTTAATAATAATTCTGTTTAGATTGCTACCTTTCTTGAGGGCCCTATGGGCAGAAAGATGGAACATAAATCAAAACACTAAATAATAAACAACTTATTATTGTATTATAGTAATAATACAATTAAAACATTTGTGGTAGTTGTATAAAAAATGTAACAATAATAAAACTACTGGAACAATAAATCAATTTCTGATGTTGGAAATCATTACCGTTTGTCCTCGAATGCCAGGAGGACCTGTGCTTCCTTGTGGTCCTGGAGAACCAAGTGGACCTGTTAAGCCAGGTGGCCCTGAAGTTCCTGGAGATCCCTATGAGATACATTTATATGGTCAACAATGTCCACAGAAGAAATATAAGGTCTTAAAAAGAGTATTTGCTTGAATCAGTTACTTACACTAGGCCCTTTAGCACCTGGGGAACCATCTGTACCTACAGCACCCTAAAATAGCACAAAACAGTTATGTATCAATACAGTTTCAACAAGCACACCTATTCCTATGCACCCATTAGACTGAAATATCACATACAAATGTCAATTTATTATGTAACAAGCGACAATTTCTAAACAACATAGACTGGAGTATTTTTCATGGTGAATAGACATTGACAGCTGTTTAACATCAATGCCAGTGGTCACAGACTACAATTTTATGGACATCTGTCCTTTGCTTACCAAAAGCAACTACCCTAAAACCATACAAAGAAGGTTAACAATAGCAAGTATCTTGGATTCTGACCCAGCTTTGATTATTCAGGCTTAGTTAAAAATGAACACATTTACTATTGCATAACCTCTCATGGAATAGACTTTGAAAACATGTTATAATAAAATGTTTAGTCTTTAAGGTGCCACAAAATCTTTTGTTATTTCCACTGAAATACGAATTAAAGCTGCTACTTGCTTAAAACTGACACAGAAGAAGCGGTAAGAATTAAATATGATAACCAAACTTTGCCCAGCCTATTGAAGAAATACATTCCAAAAGGTTAGTAGGCAAGGGTACAATTTTAAGAGGTGAAATTTTAAGGAGTGAAGTAGGTGCTTTAAATGTCTAGACATCTTAAGGCACCTCTCCTCCAACATAAATGCAAATAGTTTCAAGCTTTTTGAACTTGCCTATTCTGGGGAGCTCTTACATATCCTTGAAAAACCGTAACTTCTAAGCAATTTCTATAAGGTGATAGAAGTGTCAGAAAATTTCATCTGTTCTACATTTTTAAACAAACTGACCTAATTCATATTTTGTGCATAGCTACTTGGATCAGAACACTTATCCTTCACATTCCCTACTTCTCCAGATTTTGTGATTTAGCTCCAGACCAAAAAAAAACCAAAAACAAACCATATAAAAATGCATCCATATGGAAAGTTGCATTAAAAACTATATAGTATGGAAAGATACAAAGAAAATGCAAATTGGCTGATCCATAAATCTCTGGCAACTGCATATACATCTGGCTGCCCTAAGCAAAGGAGTTATTGTACAGTTACTTTAAGCTACATAATGCAAAGGTAGTTTCTGTTTTCAAGCCTTTTCTGATTACTCTGTAACTGTGACTAGACACAGAATACGATATTACCTGTTATACCAAAAACCAAGGTGTACTAAGTGATCTCTCTCTTTTATAACCTGTGCCTCTGTTTATGTGTTTACAATCATCTCTAACTTTTGAATGAATTATTCTCTGTTCATATGCTTTTGTTGAAGACAGTGCATAGATCTTCCATCTGCGTGCTATATTTTTATCTCTGTATATTTATAAACAATGCATAGTTGCCAGTCAGGAATGAGTAGCTCACATTCTTAATTTATAACAGTTTGAAGAACTTACAGGAAGACCAAATAATCCTAGGGGACCTGGAGGACCTGTTTCTCCTCTTTGTCCTTGAGGACCTTCTGGACCACGTGCACCTGTTGGACCAGCTTCGCCCTGAAGTTTCACATTAAAAGAGAAAGTAGGAAATGCAATATTAATACTAACCACCATATTAATGCAACGATATTGATTCTCTCATTAACTGAAGGTGCTTTTTTTTTTTAAGTGCTTATTTGGATTAAAAATGTTAGAATACAATAGAGTGCCTGCTCCCAGCTGTTCCTCATAACTACCTGAATCTCCCAAGCTAGTCTAAATGTGGAATACAATGCTACCCTGGCACTAACGTAGAACCAAGATGAAGTGCAGTCTACCTGGATTCTATACATGGAGTGGTGGGTTCCCATTTTGTCCTTCAGCACAGAAATAAAGCGTCTTCAGCCCCATCACATTACCTGATCAAGAATCCATTCAGGCTCATATCCAGTTTCTGAATTCAGCATATTAGGTGTGATTTTAAAAAACACTGGGATTTTTTCATTTTCTGTTGAACTGTTTTGTGTTGTTGTTTTATAAAAATCATCTTACTTTTCAAAAAGTGAATTCAAGGCTTTTCTTTATACAATGAGATGAATAATTTTTTATAGTGGAATTAGTGTAAAAGACAAACAACTATTTTACAGCTAGACATGGTTGCTACAGCTGCCACCTCCTCTTCTTCCCCCTCCTCCTCCTCCATCTCCTCCTTCTCCTCCTCACTTTACACATTTTTTGGCTGCAAAAGGCCATAGGTACCTGGGAGTGATGGGATACCATAATCAGAAGGTGGCTGAAAAAGAATTGATGGCTCTTTTTTTATAATGAGCTTTTCATAGTAATTTGTCTAATTAAAATAGGCATGTGAAACCCACTGGTTACTTATTACAGACATTATTCGGCTAAAAAAAACCCTATAAAAACGACTATTGTTATTCAGTGTTTTGCCATCAAATTTTGGCATGATGACCTTGGAAGACTCCTGGAGTTACAAAAATGGGGCTGAGAGCCAGGTAGGGCTCATATGATCTACCTACTGCATTCATATTCAAATCATGTTAATAGCATGCAATTAATAAATAAATTAGAGACAGCATATTATGGATGCATATGGTGATTCTTAATGTAATGTGGTATCATTCTACTGATCTGTTAAACTGAGGGACTTGACTCCAATTAAAAAAAAACCAGAAATGTCATGCATTTCCTTTAGACATTTGTTAAATCCTGGCCTCACTTTATTACACATGTTTTAGAAGGGTTACTATTTGATTCACTAAATTACTGCACTGGCTATTAAGTTCTTGTTCAGTGAGAATTGCCAACTGTAAATACAACATAATACTTCTGTTGGACTGATTAGTTTTATCCTTTCTCTCCAAGTCCGTGGTTAGCAGATGTTTGCTGTGCTGCATAGGATTTCGTCATTTCAAGGCACAGAAAACTTCAGTCCAACAACTATTACTACCACCATCCCACAGAACTACCTTGGTACTTCTTTCCTTCACAGATCAGAGACAAGGGTTTCTAGGAGAAGGGACATAAAGAGAGTTGCTAGGAAATCCAAGAACTTTAACTGCACTGATATGGGTGACTAAATCCTACTACAGTTGCCAGATTGCACATCAGAAATTTAGCTCTTAAAAACTCTGAGGCAACAAAGAACAGTGAAACAAAAGTTCTCCTCAGCTGATCTACCAGCTGCTTTGCAACACATTTGGAGTCTTGTTTAATAGGGAGAATAGTGCAATACACAATCTGGGAGACATTATGCCCGCAGTCTCATCTCCCACTGTACATTCCCAGGCAATGTACAGATTCAGCATAAACGCTAGTCTCCTTCAAGTCAAGCTCAACTTCTGGTGGCTCCATTACCATATTGTTTCCTTCGCAAGAATACAAAAGTGGTTTACATTTCCTTCTTCTCGTTTTGTTTTTTGTTTTTTTTCAACTTCCCAGTTTAGTCTATAGCCCTGTGGTTTTCTCATGGTCTCCCAACCTGTTACTAACAAGATCTGACTTTGCTTGGGTTTTCGAAATCAACCAAGATCAACTAAATGTTGCCACCTCCATTCAGTGGTGAGGACAACAGATGAAGAGATAAGCATTCCATGAGCTTGAAATTCTCCAAGTTTCTTCAGTGCTCCTCCTATGATCAAGGATATGGGTTGTGAAGAAAAAAAGCCCATGTCTCCATGACACTCACTTGTCACACACAGGGAGAGACTAAGGAAACAGACCCTTATCAGAATTCAGGGAAACACTGTAGCTGGTGGAAAAAAAAAAGTCTAATGCTACAGGAAGTAATACACTCAAGATTTCTCCTATTTCAATTCCATGAAATAAAAGTGTTCTGTAAGGCCACTGAAGATTCTCTTCCCAGTATACTTAAAGTACTTGCTCAAGAATTATGCCCTTAGTTCAGGGTGCACAACATTTAGGGGCCCCAAGATTTTACCTGCTCTTTGAAGGGCATGCTAAGAGCAAAGATAATAACTCATCTGGATTTAGCCTAATTTAATACATTCATTAAATGAAGTGGCTATCTGGAGTCTCTCCACATATTCAGTTACTTGCTTCTTTCATCACACTAGTAGGCTCTAGGAGCACAGCCATGGAGGGGCCTCAGCTGTGTGCTGCTGCCTTGATCTAGATCTGGGGTTCTCAACCTTGGCAACTTTAAGATATGTGGACTTCAACTCCCAGAATTCCCCAGCCAGCATACCCAAATTCTGGGAGTTGAAGTCCACACATCTGAAAATTGCCAAGGTTGAGAAACAGTGGTCTAGAGTTCCAGACATCTGAAAATGGCCAAGGTTGAGAAACAGTGGTCTAGAAACAGGTCATCACAACTGTTTAACAAATAGTTAAAAAGCTCAAACATCGCATTAGAAAAAATAATCTAGAGCAATAGAGAATAACCTGCCACCGATGGTATTCAAGAGCAGATAAATAAATCAATGAAATAAGACAATAAATACATTTAGGGAAGTTTTTCTCAGCCTGGCACTTTCAAACATGTGATGCCGGTAACTCCCAAAATTCCCAGCCAGCAGCACCGCTGGCTGGAAATTCTCGGAACTGCAGTGCCAATGCATAGAAGGTGCTTCAGTGCCAAAAGCAGGGGAATCTTTTCCCTATTCTAATTCTTTACACTAAATGACCTCTCCCTTGTCAATTTTGTTTAGGTATTGCACATGGCAAGAGGAGCATTAACACCAACTTTGCATGAGAAGAGGACAGTTAATGACACCACATAAATGAGTAATAAATTCTGGCTGTTCTTGGCTTTTCTGCTCTTTATTATTCTGTGGCACATAATCCTAGGAGCACTGCCAACGTCCATTAAATGTGATTGCATTTCCAGCTGTTTCAGCTTCCTAAGGGATGTTGCAATCAGATCTGTGCAGATAAATAACATTATATTTAAATAGTAAAAAAAAAATTGAAGAATTTTAAACGACGTATTGGGAAGTAAAGTTAAGTTTATTTCGTCTGATTAACTCTACTGACTATCTCAGAAGCAGGCTTCTTCACTTCAAAACTGGATGTACATGTGATATACTTGCTTGTCCTTGGTTCACACCCATCTCCCATTTCAAATTACATCCATCCACATCTGGGGTTGCAACAATATACTTGACCAGCACACTTTTTCTACAGTTCTTTTAGTGGAGAGTTCAGGGCAATAGTTTCACAAAACAATAATGTTTTAGGCAGGCTAATCTCTCCTGCTTGGCTTCTCCTCCTACTGGTGAAAAAAAGCTGTAATAGTGATGGGCAACGTGGGCTCTCAGAGCCTTTCTCCCTATTTTTAAGGTCACCAACACCTTTTCACCCCAGTTGCTGAAGTCAGCTGCATGGTTTCCTAGCCTCTCATAGCAGAAAACATGTAAGATTATTATGTGCATGCCCTAAAACATTCTTAGCACCTTTTTAAAAACAAGGAAAAACTTAGGAATAACAATTCAGACCTGCTTGTGTGTATGACATGAACTTTCTCACATATGCATCACTGAGTTAATTTAATTTATCTCTCATGATAGCCTCTCATAGCAGAAAACATGTAAGATTATTATGTGCATGCCCTAAAACATTCTTAGCACCTTTTTAAAAACAAGGAAAAACTTAGGAATAACAATTCAGACCTGCTTGTGTGTATGACATGAACTTTCTCACATATGCATCACTGACCCGGTCCACCTCCCAATGTTAAATATACTCCCCCCAACTATTACAACTATTCTCTACTTCTAAGCTAAGCCAAGCAGAAAATAATCTGCAAACAAACACCCAACACCTCATCTGAACTAAGACTCAGGCTTAATCAGTCCTAAGCAAGCCAAATTTCAAGAACTGATAATAAACCCTAGTTTGAGACTATAGCTTCTGAAATAAAGCAGAGTGTATAGTCTTTCTATAATATTGATTCTCCCAAAAATCATTCAAAACTCTGGCAATCAGGACACTCACATCTAGACTGGATCATGAGAGATAAATTAAATTAACTAAAGGTTCTGTTAACTCATTCAAAACCACTGAATACACGTTCCTAACATTGGGATCCCTGGGAGAGTTTACTCATCTTTTCCAAAATCTGAAGGTGACAGATAGTTCAGTTCATAATATCAGAGAAATAATTTCTAAATTAAGAGTCACTAATTATGAGCAATCTTATTTCTCACTGCCCTATGGAATATGTGTGTGTGCCCCTTCAAGTCGGTGTTGACTCCTGGTGACTGCCTGGACAAGACCCTGCAGTTTTCTTGGCAGGTTTTTCAGAAGTGGCTTGCCATTGCCTCCTTCCCATGGCTGAGAAAGAGGGACTCTCCCTAGCTCACCCAGCTGGCTTTGTGCCTCAGGCAGGACTAGAACTCACAGTTTCCCAGTTGCTAGCCTGGTGCCTTAACCCCTACACCAAACTGGCTCTTTTATGGAATACAGAAGTTTGCATAAAGATAAAGTCTCCTGCAAGTTGAGCTCTGTTCCTGATGTCTATATGGGGATGTGTGTCTTGATTTCTTAGCAGCAGTATTGAAGGAACTTATATCACCATCTTCTGTGAGATTTTCAGATGTTCCTGCCTAGCCTGGACTCCTGGTGATTTCCTATCCAAGAATTAAGTAGGTCCATTTGGGGATCAGCTGAGGCTGACCAAGGGCTGCCATCTAACTGTACATTCCATAATTGATTAATAAAGTTAAAAAAACACTTACCTTCATGCCAGGTATGCCAGGAAAACCCGGTGAACCAGCTATACCGAGAGGACCCTACAAAGAAGAGATGTTGAGCATCAGTGAGCAAATTTTCTAAGTAGTCTTGCAAGAGCATGAATTGAAACAGGTGCTCAGCATGGAAGGGAGCTTGAAGGGTACACAGAATAAAATATTCAGTTTCATGCATACCTTTCTTGTGGAAAAGATGTGGTGAGATTTTGACTATCATTGTATTAATGATATTTAGCAATGCAATGGGACTTGCATATTGTTTCATGCCAAGAAATGTTCTGTGCATGGAATGACTAGCCTCAGGTCAGAAATGGTTAACATTTTCAGTGGATTCTTTTTTCGCATTTCCTTATGAATGGAGATAGAAGACTTTTTATGTTTTTAATTTGGCACAAAGTGAAACTGGCAGATTTCTCAGCTAAGGGTTCAACTCCATGAATCTGTGCATTCAATCATATGTGCAGCATTGGATCAGGACTGTCACCTGGTTTTGCCAGACTCATTCCTTGTCTTTTAAAAACCAGACACATGGCAAGAAGTAGCTTGACTCCTTTCCATGCTGGGAACTACTGCAGCTTCCAAATTTGGATGGTATAGAAATTTATACCAATTTATTTATGAGTAGAACAAATGTGATAATTAAAAAAAAATGTTTGGAAGAGAGTGAAAATGGCAGATTTATCTACCCTGACCCTGATCTCTCCTCCAGAGCAGCAAATGACAACTTAGATTTTGAAAATTAATGCCTTCAGCTTCACTTTAACAAATAGTCACTTCTGTGGAAAATAATAATAATAAAAGTGAAGGCCATATAACCTGACTAATCTCAAGACAGAGAAAGCTCAAAAGGCACAATATTATAATGCAAAGTTTCAAAGAACTAAGAAAGCATTAGATGAATGTGTTAGTCTGAGTATTAAGAGAAAAAAATCCTGAAGGGGAAATTTCACAACATTCTACATAGTGCCATCACATTGTTTGATACTGTAAAGCTGTTTTGTTTTTGTTTTTTCCGTTTAACCAAGAGCTGGTGCAGGAATGGTATATTGGGATTTTGCTTTGAGGAGCTTTAACCCTTGGCCACACCATGTTTTTCAGCAGCACTGAGAAAGGGATGTGTGTGCTCTCTGCAAATGGCAGAAAGTCTATGTTGCTGCCAAAGAATTCCTCTATGGGGCTACCAGGAAAAGGGAGGATCCCAATCTGGACCATGGCAGTGCAAATGGTTAAGTCTCCCTTCCCTATGATAAAGCCCTGATCCAATCTTGCTCCTCCACCTTTCATGCCGGTTAATGGTTTAAAGATCAGACATATTACATCCAATTTAGCCCAAGTAGTTTTTTTTCTTTTGTTGTGCTAATTCTGATCCACTTTAGACAAAATGCTTTTAGCAGCAACAGAGCAACACACTAATATGTTTGTCATCCACTCTAATAAGATACTTTAATGGAGCTCTACTACTACTGCTTAGTAAA